CGTTTCTTCTATTTAATATGACTGAAGGAGTCGGAAAGATATTTAAATAATGCTTTGTATTTTCCTATATCTTTTAACTTTAATCACTATACTAAACTATAATTGTTCATATCATATTAAACATTACAAATGTAGAATCTTAAGTGTTTTCTTTAAATTATTTTTTTACGAATGCTTTCACTTGATAGCTGCATATTTTGTTTAAATATGCATTACATGTTTAATCAAGTTTCTATAACTACCAATATTCAATTGTTAATATGCCACTCTGACATGGGATTTGAAAAAAGGTCGAAACTCAGTACAAAGCAATCATAACAAAGTAATCAGGCGTATCGTTACACTTTGCGTCTATTATTATATTATGTAAATAGCATTTGTATTTATTTGTTTGAGAAGTCTAGCCTGTTCACGTGCTTTGAGTGGCATGCGATCTCATCGTTTAGAAGGAGTCAATAAACACATTAAATCGCTGACCCAAATGATGTGACTAGATCTAACATAAGAGTAGAGAATACTTCTAACTTAATTGTCGTGTGTTAGATTTTCGTTATATATCTAAAGACCGAGGAAGGATGAAACGATTATGCCAGGATTACGAGGTTTGGTCTTCTGCAAACATTATCAACACTAAGGCATTCACCGGAATCTAATAATTGCAGGATTATTATGGAATACAAAGATTAATCGTTTTTCTGTTGTTGCTTTCTTTTGTGTCACACTTCCTGTCTATTCAAACCTTTCAGGTTCTATTGCGTTTCCTCGATTAAATACCATTCAAAGAGAAGAAAAGACGTTTGAATATTGCTTTGTATTTTCAAATACCTTTTAAACTTCAATTATCATGCTGATTTATTTCAACTGATTACATAATAACAGGCTTTACGTAGTTAGAATCTCGAATTTCGGCTTCGTTGCCATATACACAAAATGCTCTTGTAGCTTTGCTACTTAAACAAAATTGCCAGCAGAGTTACTGTCACCAGGTGCTTTTAAAACTGTAGCAATTACACGGGAGTGTTATAGAGGAAGAAGTAAAACAGAGTTTCACGTGGGTCAAGGCGACAAGTGGGAAGACAATTCAGTGCCGAAGGGAAAAAATGCATTATTTAGTGATTACTAATCATTGAAAAATATGCATTTATGAAAGAAAAAAAGTTTAGATTTAAACACGGTGTACTGAAAACGTTTTACTCACAGAAATGTAGCTGTAAATAAATGAAGTATTTTAAACACTTTTCGAGGGTCGGCAAGATGTATTATATTTAATTCCCAATTAAAGTCACTGTGCAACGAAGGTGAATGTATACACTTAAAATGAATTATCGATTAATTCGTTGTAGTAGCTGCTACATTTGATACGTGCAAACTAGATGCACCATCAAACTATATATTTTAAATATATTAGGAATTTGAAAGGCACTGTAAATGTATGTTTTGTTTTTGTAAAGCAACATTATGCAGTGTAATACAGAAATATAATAAATTAGAATTTTTATAATTATCGAATGCAACAATTCAATATCATTTGTTACTGTTGACAATAATGTGTTGGAAAATATAACATAATATTTTCAAGCAATATCTTAGATGCTCTCAAGTCGAAGAAATTTAATAAACCCTAACGGTTGAATCAAGGATGTGTCACAAGGACACGGACATATTTAATGTGTGCATCCATTTGTAACTACGTAATGCATTGATGGGTGCAGTGTAAACAATATGATAGCGTTGTATATGCTTAAGAAGAGTTAGGGTCATTCATCACTTAATAGTGTTAGTCTATATTACGATTGAATTAATTAATTTTGTCTTCACATAATATGAAGACTGTTATTTTAAAATATTCCACTGTAAATGGTTATACTAGTCTTTTCATAGTCGATTTAATTTTTTAAAAATTGTTGCTGGAAAGAGGACACATTTTTCATGATGCAAAAACTAAAAATCCTGTATAAAAATATTTGTAGTCTTTTGAATACCTTTTGTAACATAATGAATCTTGCTATCTAAACTCTTTCATAACGCATATTTGAACTGTTGTTTGCTTGGTACGAAAAAAGGAATATTGGTTTTGATGCGTGTATTTTATCAAACTTGTACGTATTATCAATGTCAAATAAACGCATGCTATTAAAGAGAATCTTTTCTGGCCATTCAAATTGCAGGCGTTAGATGGCGTTAGTTGATACACACAGTGTTCAGATATGTTCCCCAGCTAATTGTAATGAAATTTATGCTGATGTTGATATACAGAGTCGTGATCCAACGACTAAGTGAGGGTCATGCATTTGAAGCTTCTTAAATATATTCAAAATGACGCAGTTGCTTAATATTTAATTTGTGAATAAAGACACAAATCTACAATTGACAAAGTAACTAAACACGTTCGCTGAGTACTAGTTGCAATAAAATCGCCCATAGATTTTAGAGCGCAACATGGCATACAGGTTTGTCATTGTACTCTGGGCATTGTAAAGAAATACAAGTAAAATAATGTACTCAGTTGTCCATGTGGCTGCATTAATACAGGTTACTAATTAGAAAAATGTCTGGAACATAAATTTAAGACTTGGGTTAAAGCAACAATTAATCTAATTCTATTTTAAAGTAAATAATTAAAAAGCTACTCATTTTTCAGAACTGAAAAGTATATACAATGAATGCAATGAACACTTCTGTCTCATAGCAACTGTTCTGTATTTTGGAAAATAATACTGTTAAACATGCTATCAAGCAAGCACGGAATGAAAACAAATGACTAAATGAATAAAAAAGTTTGAAACAACATTGTGGAAATTGAAATATCGATACGACTGTATATCTCTAAAGTTTTGATTGCAACAACTGACTTCCTATGATTACAAGATATAGAGGAGTATAAAATGTCAAGCATATTTCAAACTCTTTCCATAAAAGAATTTGTGTCCTTTTGTATAAAGGAAATCAGATAGCACTCAACATGTATGAATAGACTGCGTGTCGCCCAAGACAAGAATACAGGCATTCACTGCACGCAATGGTAACACATGCGTTTGAAAGGATGATCCGGTGGGTACCATCATGTGAGTTCGTTGTGCACAAATAGACAATGTTTGCCAAGTCGAAAAAAATGTGACAATTGACATATTCTAGTGTAATTAAAACATATATATATATATATATATATATATATATATATATATATATATATATATATATATATATATATATATATATATATATATATATATATATGAATAATGGCTTAGCGTTTGCTTCAAAGAATATTATTTAAACTTATAAGACCAGAGCAACGGAGATGAATATGGTTTTAGGAAACGTAGGCACTGAATTGTAGTAGATATTATATAGCCTCGAAGGATGAGATGAATAGGAAATGGTTGAATAGTTGAGTCCTCTGCAACATGCAAGGTATTCACTTTGGTCTAGGGTTATAAGGGGATTGAAATAGTAATCGTGGGTTTTCAAGTTTTTTTGTCTTTGTTTTTGGTTCGGACGCTTCTTGAGGAGTGAACCCTTTCGAGAACTATGATACTGCTTAAATTTAAGACTGTTCAAGGATTTGTAAAGAATTGTGATCATTGCTTTATATTTTCCAAGATCTTTCTAACATCAATCACTTTATTGCATATTTCGATTGCTTATATAGTACTTAACTTTACATATTTGTAAAATCGAATTTCCACTCTGAATTGAATTGGACCGAAAGGACTGATTTATAGCTGAACATGTCTTATCTATGTATTCTCTGTTTAATCAAGTTTCTGCTAATTATACATAGGAAACGAATATGTATTGTTCTGTTTGACTCCGACTGAAGAATGTATTAAAAGGTTTAAAATTAGGTCCAAAGCCATCGTAATAACTCCCACATGGCAATCTTTTCACTGGTGGTAGATACAATCTTGTGGATAATTGTCCTAGTCACTTTTTATAAACGATTTTGCCTAGTTTGACCTTTTGAGTGCTGGAAGGATTCTTCGTTTATAATTCGCCAGGCTGTTGTTTGGAAATAAATTTTAAAGATTGCTTGATAATGTTTAACTCCTTTGCTATTTGTGTCTATGTATGCGTTTTCTCAAAGCACTAGCCGTAGCCCATGATTTGGAAAGCAATATAAAACAGATGCTTTTTTATAAGAATCCTCTCTTTCGGAGTGTGGAATGCCAAATGGCCGGGTGGTGATAGCTTATTATGCTTATAAAATCACTGGTTATTGAATATTTATAGATTTTATGTTGCTGTTTAGAATTCGAGTAATACTTTTCTGACGTAAGTTCAAACATATGTCATTTACATGCATTTAACTCATGACTATCGATGCATCTAGACAATTCACAGCGTTACAGAACACTTGTGAATATTAAGAAGTTGAAAAATATCACCCAGAGTTTTAATTCACAAGAATTATCCAAGTGTATGAGCTTAATGAATTCAATGTAATGAAAAATAAAACATTAGGACGTTAATTGCGAAACTAATTGTCATATCTGGTAAAGATTTGGACGAAAATGTGAAACGAATGACGAGTAAGCCAGTTACATTTAAAGAACCTATTATGATCTAAAATCACTCTTCACCTAAAAGAGGTAGAATATGAATGTAAATGACATTTATGTCTTATATCAATAGTTCTCCATAATACATAATCAACGTTTCAAATATGTTAAAACTGTAAGTGCTAACCTAGAGGAAACAAGGTCACAAAATTAATACAAAGGTTAAAACATCACTGAAGAAGAATAATAAGGAGAAGGGGGGGTGTTTATAATTTTTAACGTAGCTTTAACAATTTTTCAGTCATATCGCTACGATGTCTACAGTGTGGCAGTTTATAGTGATGTCTAGCACTGGGGCATCATGGCGTAGACATGTAGCATGATGTCCCACCCAGTCACATTATCCTGACACCAGGCCGACCAGTCCTAACACAAATCTCGTAATGCTGAGCGTCAAGCCAGGCAGCTGTTAGTACCATTTTTGTAAGTCTTTGGTCTGACTCAACCGTGGATCGAACCCACGACCTCCCGCATCCGAGGCAGACGCTCTAACCACTAGGCCACCAGAGTGGTTTAATAAGGAGAGGAAATTTAAAACATGTCAAATTTTCAATCTTTGGGTTTTATCAACTGATGTTATGAAAGTCCAATTAGGAATATAAGTTATAGGCCAGAAAGCACGAATATATGTTTGAAACCTTTTAACTGATACTTTGTGAACGTATTTTGTTTTGAAGAGACAATATGTGATACCACTCACCAAACTGCAATAGTTAAGTCGTTTCTTAAACAAGTGAATACCGTAACTCTTTGGACGGTAACATCCGGTTATAGAAGTCATTGAGGGTATGTGCACGTGGAAAGAATTATGCAAATTGTGTTGAATTTTCAAAAGATTTGCGAAGACGAACATAATGTGACTATAGCCAAATTTTTAGTTTATTCGTGATATGTACATAATATTATTTTCGTATATGCACTTAATAAGAGAGCATTAAAAAGTATATTACGACTGCTACGATCGGTTGGATAGAGCTATGGTATTCACGGATTACAAAACCTTTTGTTTATTGAAATTTTGTGAGATTTGTGAGATTTCCTCATTAGAGTGTCCGCAAGATATGTTTTGACAATAAGTTTTAAAGATGCTTCGATATTTTTCATCTGTTTGATATTTGTTCCTATGAACGTTTCTTTTGAATTTAGTGGACTTAGCACATGATTTGTTATCAAACATAAAAATAGACGTCTGTTTGAGAGTAGAATTACATGCCAAATGTCAGCGTGGTGATACAGAAATTATTACTTTAAAGTACATTGGTTACTAAATATTTATCAATTTTATGTTGATATAGAGCAATTGAGTAATGTTTCTGAAATATATTAAAAATTAAGTCATTACTTATATTTCTATTTTTACTAGCGATACATCTCAACAGTTCAGAGTGATACAAAATATTCCTGTAGACGATGAAGTTGAGGAGTATCGCTGAGACAATTACAGACCAAGAATGTATCCACGTTTATGAGATTAACGATGGCAATGTAAAGAAACAAAAATAAAACCACTTCTCTTGTCAATGTAACTGCTTATATTTTTTTCAGATTTTGAGAAACATTTGAAACTAATGACGACTAAGCCATTTCTGTTTTATGAACCCAATAAGATCTAAAACTACTCTTTACCGGGAAAGAAAAGTTAGCACATGAATGTAGTGGATGTTTCTGTATTATAAGAATGAGCATCCATGATTTACAAAAAGCGTTTCAAATATATTAACAATGTATCTGCAAACCGAGAGGAAACAAAGTTACAAAATGAATACAATGTTTAAAATATCATTAAATAAATACTGATACAGAGAAGAAATTAAAATTAGTAACATTCTGAATGTTTGATTTGATCTACTGATTTATGCAAATTAAAAAAGAGATATAACTATTATAGGCTGAAATGTAAGGAATATGTCTGAAACTCTTTACTTGAAATTTTGTCAGTTTTTTTGAACAGATGAAATATTGTACCACTGAACAAACTACATTAGACAAGACGCCTTGTAAGCAAGTGAATATCGTGACTCCTTGGATACCTGCATCCGGTAACGGAAGTCACTGAGTGTATGTGCACCGGGCAAACATTACAGAAACTGTGTACAATGTTTACAAAATTTAGGAAGACGAACTTAACGTGACTGTAACCAGATATCTATTCTTATCGTGAAAGGTACGTGAATATTAGTTTCATATGTGCACTTTATTATATCTTATTAAGGCTTATATTACGAATGCATGAATGGAAATAAAATATTAAAAAATTAAATATTACATTTACATTGCATTTTGGAACCGATGAGTATACATTTATAACCTTGTATAAGGTTAAAATATACTGGCAGTTGAATTGCCTTGTGTTGCATTTTGGGTGTATATCTAAAAGCGGAGTAAAGATGACACAATGATAGAAGGGTAAATTGTTAAGTCTTCTGCAACATACTGAAACCCAAATTATTGATAATTGCCTAGGAAGTGCAGGGTTAGTATGTAATAAAAAAATTACTCTTGATATTTGTTTGTTTATTTTGTTGTTTTTTTAAGACACTTTCTGCTATAGAAACATTTATGGAACTATTAAGTTTCTTTGATAGAATTATAAAATTGAAAAGATTTTTAAGTATTGCGTTACATTTGTTAAAACTTTCTAACATCAATCAATATGCAGAATTATTCAATTGATGCTCCAAAAGTATGCTTTATATAGTCAGAATTTATACATTTGTCATCTTTGCAAAACCATTATGATCTTTTAACGTATGTACATGTGAAAAATTGTCAGCAGATTAAATGTCACCAGGTGGGTCTAGATCTGTAGTGATAATAAATGCAAGGCGTCAGAGGGTGATACGTAACGACAGCTTACTAGATTTACTAGGTTGCGAAATATGGTATTAATTAATATAATTGGAACCTGGAGAAACACATAATTGACCTAGTAAGTAGGAGTAGGCCTGTTACATATTTTAAGAGTTTAGTTAGCTGATACACTGTTCCATATTCCGCGATAAGAACCACATTGAATCGTTATAAATTATGCTCCTGTTTCCTAGCGGCAATTACCATAAATACGAAATAGATGTAGCAAATACATCAAAAAGAATATGGCAAGGAAATAGTTTAAATGAGTCTAATCTTTGAAAGATAAAAATACAATAAAAACATTTGAGAGAAATATATTGACCAAGGCATTGTAAGAAATTTTTAATGCGCTATGGCTGAAATTCCTAATATATTGAGTGAATCCGTTTGCAGAGGGTAGCCCTTTGTAAACTTCTTTTCAAAATGGCCTTGATACTGAATAACGAAATCATATACCAATATATAACTTTTCAATCCAAAAGACCTTTCATAATAAATGAACACATTCAGTTTCTGTATGCTATGGTAACAGAACGCAATGAATGGTGTGGGGTAGATTCTAATAACTTGATACACGATTACAAAATATTAGGGTCATAACGCACTAAAGTCCACGTCTAAAGAATAGGAAATTTATCAACCTGCCATAAGCGATCTTAGCTTATAAGCATATGGTATTTTAAATATTTCGATATTTTTGATTTCCACATTTCGTTTGTGCACAATAAACGAAATATATGATGCTTTTGTAAATGAAATGCACTGAATGAAGGCGGAAGTTGTGGGGACAAATACATGCTTAAAGCAAAACAATGCTCTATGTAAGGTATAATAAATGTTGGAAACTTTGTACCTATGGAATTTAATATGTTCAGGTCTAAACATGGTGCAGTTATAATGCTGTAGGAAAAAATGTAGCTGAAAATGAAGAAAGTAATTTAAAGATTTTTTGGAGGGTCGGCAAGATATATTAAACTTACATTCATGGTACTATGAATGCAAACGTATGCAACTAGAAGTGAAGTAATGTTTAAGTCTTTCAAATAGCCGCCCTATATGCTACGATGTAAATAAAAAGCATCCGTGTTCAACATAAATATGCTAATATTGTTAAATGCACTGTAGACGTTTAAAAATCTCATAAACTTTGATGTGTTTAACACATTCATATTCAGGAATAGTAAAGATATTGATGTATTGCGAAATGTCGTCCTCATTTTATGGCAACGAAAGTCCATCGTAGAAACAAGAACGTTTAAGTCTATTAGAAAGGCGAAAGGCACTTTCTAATGATCTTGTTTTAAAACAACAACGTTCAGACTTATACAGAAGTATAATATATTACAAGTTTACTTGGTATCTAATGGACCATTTCAATTTCATTGGTAATGTTTGGCAACGTTTTGGACAATATAACTATATGTGTTGATAATTGACAGAGTTACAAAAACGCTTGTAGAATAAGAGTTAGAAGAATCTCGTCTACATATTTTAAAGCCTAGAATGGCACCTGGGTTTGTCAGGATAACAAAGGCAGTGCAAAGAAACGGACGTAAAAATGTGTCCATTTGCCCATATAACTGCATCATTACTGTTACTAATTGCAATTAATTCTCTTGAACAGATATTTGAGTGTAGTGTTTAAACAATAACTAAGTCATTTCTTTTTTAAGGGAAATAATAACCTTTAATGCTATTTATTATTCAGAATCATAAAGAATAAACGTACGTAAAGGATGCTTCTGTTTCACAGCAACTGTCCCCTCCAATCTAAATTAACCGTTTTAAATATAATAGCAATCTAAGTTAGAGGATAGAGGAAGAAAAGTAACTAAATGAATACATAGATTGAAACAACATTGTGAAAATATTAGATACCGATAAGACTGTATATTTTGCAATATTGGAGTGTATCAATTGATTTATTAGGGATATAAGTTAACAAGGAGCACAAAATATCAAGCCTTACTTAAAACTCTTTGCATAACAACTGCGAGCCTTTTGCTTTGAGGAAATCAGATAGCACTCAACATATTGGAATAGCCACAGCGGTTTGTTGCCAACAGATAAATAGAGGAATTCACTGCTTGCTATGGTAACACACGCTGATGAAAGGATAAAAAATGGGAAGCATTACTTGAGCGAACAGCGTACACGTTTGACAACATTTGCGAAAACTTAAACCAAAGTGACTATTACCAAATCGCTAGTTTAATTCCTACACATGAGTGAATAATGACTTTGTGCTTATTATAATATTATTTAAACTTATATAACTAGTGTAAGGGAAATAAAATAAGTTACAAGAAATCTAGCTATATAATTATAGTAGATTTGTGATAGGTTTAAAATATTTAAACCTCTGGAACATGGTCTGATCTAAAACATTCACTGGTGAGTAATAAATCCAGGGTTATGAAGAGATACAAGTAGCAATAGAGGCTTTTTATTTTTTGTGTGCTTTGATGTGTTAGGAAATTCCTTACTAGTGAGACCTTTGCTTTAATTGAAAACTCAAAGCCTTTAAAAGATTTGTAAACATTACTTAGAATTTTCATAGATCTTTTAAACATTAGTATCCACAATGCTTATTTTTATTGATAAAATATTTCTAAATTAAAGATTCCCTTTCAATTTAATGTAAACGCGTTCTATAT